GGGCCGCCGAGCCTCCGCCCTGGGCACAGGCGCCGAGGCCAGGAGCAGCCACAGCAAGAGCAGCTGCCCGCGCCCCGCCGGCCGCAGCTGAGGTCGGGACACCCCGCTCCCTGCCTGCTTCGCCATTTCCCAAGTTCCTCACTCTGCACCCGCCACCGACCTAAGATGCCCAACTCCATGGCCACCTCCGCCAGCCCCCAGATTTAAGGGCAGAGCCTGGCGACCTCTCCACATACTCACCCAAACACCCTCCCGCCCCGCCCCCCGACGAAGGGAGGTCCCCAGCCCGACCCTCAGCAGGGAGCTACCCTACCTCTTGAAATCCTGGAAACCAGTGACCGGCAGACTGAAAACAGAGATCACCCACCCACGGCCCGAGTCAGGACCAGGAAAACACGCAGCCATATTTCAGTATTTCTCTTGGTTTTATTACAAAATAAGCAACAAAACAGTTTTAGAAAATTATTTTTTTGCTACATACCAATTAGAAGCTCACATAAAATGAGAAGCTAACAGTTTCCATGCGCTCAGCTCAGGGCGGGCGCAGGGTGCATTTCACAGCTGAAACTTACTGGTTCAAAATACTAAGTCATGCCACACCTTCACAAGCAGAGGGGGAAGGGGCAGTTCGTTTTTGCCAAACATTTGCTATATTTGAACTCTACCTAGCTTGAGTGACCCTAATGGCTGCAGGCAGTGACACAGATTAAAAGGGACTGGGGAGGGGCAAGGGATGTTGATAGAAAAGATTGAATAAAACTGCCCATTTCTGACAAGTTCAGGCTGTATAAACAAGGTTAACTTGGGAAACTCAGTTTCTAAAATGCCGTTACCTCCACATGCTGTTCACCCGGTCAACACTGACAGGGATCGATCACATCCCACAGCCACGCTCGACAGTGGAGCAGTGGATGGCCTCCTGTTCTGCTGCAGCCCACCACCCCCCACCTGAAACACTCCTGTGCCCTGCCAAGATCCCCACTAGCTGGAGGACTGGCGGAGCGGATCCTGGGGTTTTGTGACCAGGTCAAGTGGCTCGCTCTCTCTCTCTCTCTCTCTCTCTCTCTCAGGGTCTCTTACAATCTCTCTCTCAAAAGAAATAAATAAAAAAAAAATCTTACTGCTCAACTACTGAATCTACTATTTATTTATTTATGGAATCCTCTTAGCCCAGGTCAGAACACACTTATATGCAGAAAGGAGAAAAAAAAAGTTTGCTTCAGCTGAGAAGCTGGACCTTACCTTGGCACCCTGCCCATTGGTAACACCCCCACATTGCCCCGAGGTCAGCTGTACGCACACAACTCAGTACCCCGACACCCTCACAGAACCCGAAGGGCCAGGCTGTGTTTCCCAACCCGAAACTGACCTTGGAGAAAAATGGACAGTAAGTAGATCAGCCACAGGAATGACCACTTGAAATACCGTCACACATCATGGGTCGAGACCACGTCACTAAGCCTTATGGAAGGAGCACAATTTTTAAGTGTTTTTATTCCACGAAGAAAAACTAGAGTATTTTTAGTACATATGTATCCCCGCATGGACCCATTTAACCACTAACCTATACTACATCCCTGCTATTGTTTCTATTTGGTTCCATTTGATGAAAATATTCTAAATGAAATGCTTTGGTCACATAGGCACCTACTTCGGCTCACATTAAAACACTGTGGTGTAGGAACCACCAGATATTGCTAGACTCCCATCTAGTCGACTGCGGTTTGAGTCCTAGAGCTGGTGGCTTAAAACTCATGCCAGGTGTGTGTGCATGCATGCCCAAAACCCCAAGAAGAGAATGGAGAAGGGATTGTGGCCATCCCCGCAGGAGGTGATTTCTCACTTTCTGTGTCTCTGTTTCTCCAGCAAGTACACATATCCTATAGCAAAAATCTTTAAAAAAAACAAACAAACAAACAAAAAAAAAACAAACACTGAGATGTGAAACTGACCCGAAGGTAAGGTATGTATGACCACGGAAAGAACTGTGAACTAAGACTGGGGAGGAGAGTAGTTTGGGCTTCACTGGGATAACTATTTCTGATACTGGACCTCGCATTAACAATGTTCTAACTTGAAAGATTTAAGGACTTCCCAATTAGAATCCTTGTTTCCCCTTTTTCAAGATGAACAACCTAGATTATAAGTATGTTTAATTAACGGTTTCTCAAAAAAGACTTTACTGAATAAGACATAGCTTATTAGAATGGCGAACTGATGTAACCAGGAACTTGGCACAGGGTTTATTTAAAAAAAAAAGATATATAGGTAGATTTCTCATCATTTAAACTCCAAAAATATGACATCTCTTCCATGGAATCAGGAAATATTTTCTTTTTTATTTTTATTTATTTATTTATTGCCATAGGGAATGTAGACTCACCAAAAAGAGACAGAGAGAGGGAAAGTGAGAAATCACTCCTCAGGGGAGACGGCCACACCACTATCTCTTCTCCTCCACTCTCCTCTCATGATTCTGCGCACACACACATACCTGGTGTGATTTTCAAGTCGCTGGGTCCAGGGCACAAACTGTGGCATGGGCCATGTGGGATCCAACGCCTTAAAGCCACCATGCCACCTGCTGGCCTGAGTCAGAGGAAGCTCAAGGGGGTTGTAAAAGTTCCTGGTTTATTTTCATCGGATCCACATGACTTATTGTATACTCACTTCCAGGAGCCAAAGAACCTTCATCAGGACGATTTGAAGGTGAGAGCAGAGACAGAGGACTTTGGGAATTTGGAATGGCTTCTTGAAATCAGGACACTGGAGGATGTAACCGTCTGAGGACAATCATACACAAGACTATAGAACAGAGAGGGGCGATGAGAGGAAAGACAGATTCGATAGGGATTTTTGGGGGGTGAGGAAGGACAGCAGGACCACTGAGCCAAACTTAGTTTAAGTGAAGGACAGCCCCAGCTCAGTGTGGTCACAGAAAGTTCCAACTGTGACACGCATTCTGGGGAAACGACAGGGCCTGAAAGAACACAATTCCCTTCGAGCCGCTGAAGATTTTCTCACCAAGTGCTTTGCCTCCCCTTACATTTAGACTACCTGGTAAAAATGCTTCTCTTTGTCTCTCCTTCTAGTTACTAACTTTTCATTTAAAATGCAATAAAAGCTATAGATAGAAATAAACTACGTTCACGCTTCTCCTAGGGAACTCTAGTAAGTTTCTGGTACATAAATTAGACAGACAAATTTTCCTAGGGACGCTAGAAATATTAGGTTGTCAGAAAAGTCATTTCGTATTTTTCTACGCAAAAAAATGTGTCATGAGTTTTCAGACAAGCCAATAGTAACTTGTCAAATGGAAGAAGGTTGGCTCTAAAATTGGATGGGAAACCCGATGGGCTTGGTTCTTCTACCTGGGATCATCTGTAAGGCCGTGTTTCTATTTCTATGCCCCTTCCTCTCTCACTGAAAGAATAAGTACTCTGAGACTGTTTCGGTAGCGCTCCGCTGCTAAGGGCATGGAACTTCACCCCATTACAGGGTTCGATCCTGAAAGCACACGGGGTTTCATTCTGAAGGCAACACGAAGGGTAAAAAGAAAGCCAATCTCCTCAGCAAACAGTACACAGCACTTAAATTTAGTTGAAGCTGATCCGTTTCCAAAGAGCTGTGAAGCAGGGAATCCAGAAGCCCTCTCTGTGCAAACACAGCTGTTCTCCTGTCAGGAAAACTGGGGTCCAAGAGGTGAGCCGGATGAGCTACGAGCCGCCTCTTCCAAGCACCTCTTTATACTTAGCCAGAGAGCCCAATGTGTCACACATGTGAACAGTCACGCACTTCTCAACCCTCCACCCATTAAAATAACACCATTCCAAAAGGCGTGTCTGTCTGTTCTCAGCCGTGGGAACATTTAACCCTGATAAGCCCATCCGCGGGCCGACACAGACAGGGGGCTGGTATGACTGTCACCCCCAGCTCCAGAACCTGGGGCCCAAACACACCTAACAGAGTAGATTCCACGCCTGGCTGATGAACTGGGGCTACATTACTCCCCATCCCTTACGAGAGGGCCTCAGCTGCTCTGTGATGAGTTCTTCCCAGGGATTCTGGCCTGAGCGTCAAAACGGCAGCCCCCAGGCTCAGACGCTCAGAGCAGCCCGCAGAATGTGCCCTGGCCCCCCCACTACCCCTGCCCACTTCACAGACCAGGCCATAAACACAGACAGGATACACCTGGACGACTGGCCTAAGATGCTGATCCGGGACTGAAAACAAAGACAAAGAAATTCAAACAAGGTCAAGGAACTAAAACTTGCTTGGGGGTGAAAATGGTCTCCAGACCTCCCCGGAGAGGAGTTGCCAAGGTCCCCAGCCCTTCAGGAAGGACCTGGCGTGGTTAGACACCAGGCGAGCTGCTCCCTGCTGCATGTGCCTACAGGTCGAACCCAGAGCTTTTCCCAAGGTAAATCCACTGCATTGGGATCACACGAAAGCAGCCAGCAGGCCAGGCCCCTCCCCAGAGCAGCCACCGGACGTGAGCACACCGGCCTGCAGAGGGCCTCCCACAGGGTAGAGAGATGGACGCTCGGCCGGGCTCTCCCTTCCACCTCCCTCCAGGGCACCGCGGCTCATCACACATCAGAGGTCCGTATGTTCTCATCGTCAAGGTTGAACATAAACGGCTTCTCCTTGCGCTGGGGCTCCGACCTGTGCCTGAGGCGCGAGCCTGGCAACCCGCCAGCAATCCCACTCTCCCCAAGTCGAGGTGCGAACAGAGAGTCCTCCAGAGTCTCTTCAGCTGGAAGCAGCTTCTCCCCGGCCTGGGGGACAGGTGTCCAGGGCTGCCATGAGGAGGCGACCGAGGGGGCTTTGCAGAGAGCTCTCTTTTCTTCCACAGGAGGACGCCCCCTCCCCAGGGCAGAGTTGGGCCCTCCTGAGAGGACAGAACTTCCAGGCCGAGTCAAAGAAACGGATCGAGAAAAGGACATTTCCTACAAAAATAAGAGGGAAGAAAAACACAAAGGAAAGTCAGGGTGTTTCCTGACGATGTTCACCCCAAAGGCCCAGGACAAGGGGCTCATCCCCAGGACCACATCTCCCCTGTCCAGAGATACGCATGGACAAAACTCAACCCTCCACAGAATCCACTCCGGGTGTGTCAGGGTCGGCCTGACAGCCAGATATGTAGGACACATGGGAAACCTTATTTCTCTATCCGATCTTACCTCACCTCCTCCAACAACCAAATAGGAAAAAGAAAAATTTGTACCAAATCAGCAGACACAGAAAAACAAGACACCCCAGGGCTCGGCTACACCTAGGCAGGGCGGCTTGCCTGTGTCACCAGACAAAACGAGCCTGCTCAAGGGGGATTCAGCTCTCAGTTGACACTGTGCGACAGGAAGGAAGCAACTTACCCTGGGGTGGCACCTGAGAGCCTGGACAGCCGCCCCGATCTCCTTAATCCAGCTGTGCATGTCTTCTGGACTGTCCGCCTGCAAAACACCCACGGCCCTGACACAGACGCTCTGGCTCTGTGATTTCAGCTTGCAAGTCTCTGATGCAACTTCGAGTCCATCAAACCACACCATTAGAGCTGGAAGGCCTCTCAGAAACCGTCTAGGCCAGAGGCATCCAGGCTTCTGGGGACATCGCTTTCCTGCAAACCCTATTTGACACCCAATAAATAAAACAGCTCCAAGTAGAACTGTTCTGAAGTGGAGCTGTTTGGGGGGCAGGGGGCTGAACACACATTCCCTGGGGAAGTACCTCACCCTCTGCAACACAACTGCCCTGGCCGAGCCTCCACACTTGCAGAATGGGAAACGCAGGCCCAGACAGTCCAAGCTCAAGGTTATGGCTAGTCTAGCCTGGAGTTCTCCTCACCTGCAAGGTAATCACCTTTCCACGATCACTCTGTACACGCATCCCACTTTCAATTCCAGCTGCATGAAAGCCAAATCGTTCTTCAAACCCTCCCAAAGACGCATTATCATATGTATTCTCTCCAGGGAGGGGCATTTCTCAAAGCATAAACCCCCCAGGTCTATCTGGCCTCAAGCACTGTGGGTCTTGGAGAGCCAGGCTTTGCCACATGAGGGGACTTCTAAACGTTTCTGGGGAAATGAAATGCAAGTGTGAGTTTATTGTGGTGCAAAAAAAAAAATGCCAAATCTATGCATGGCTTTGTAATAATATGCATTTTTCATGAACTTTTGGAAGCCCCTGCAACAACACTGAGAGGTTCCAAGTATTCCCCCCAGAAACAACCCACCAGCCCCAGAAGAGGGCAGCAGCAGCTTTAAGAAGAACCGGAGGAAAATTAAGAGGCCCAGCCAGCCACCCCACTGTGAGGCCTCTGGGTGCCTTCCAGCTTCACAGGGTGGAGTTCAAGAGAACTTAGCAAAGGCGTCCTGGGGGCCCTGCTTGGTGTGGTATCCAGGGCAGGGCCCGGCAGCGGTGCCAGGACTGAATCCCTGCCCTCAGGAATCGACATCTGTTAGCCTCCCTCAGTCCCCAGCACTGTCCCTGAACGGCCCCACCCAAACACACAAGCGTGCGTGTGCACGTGCAGACGGGTGTGCAGACACCACACCCCAGCCCTCAAAGTTCGACAATCCTCCCCTTGCCCTGTCCCCAAAATGAGTCCTTCTCTTTGCATCCTATCAGGTTAAAACACGAGCAGTTTTACTTGAGAAATCCTCAGATTCACACCCCTACCCTTTTCTATCACTTCCAAAGCAGCCCTCCCAGGTTAGAGGTGTGCAGGAGACACTTGCAAAGGAAGACCTGTCACACCTGGCACGCTGGGTCGCCAGGTCTGAAAGGGTCAGCGACAGGTGCCCCAGGGGAACACCTCTCATGTGCGCTGCACCTGCAAATCGCTCGCCCTCTCTCCCCTTGACCTTCTCCGGCTCCCTGATGATTTCATGGTTTCCCAAGAAAAGAAGCAAATCCATCTCCGGCCCAAAAAGAAACCGGCAAGGTCAAGATCTACTGACCTTGGAGCGCTCATAACATTTTGTAAACCTCAAATACACACAATCAAATTTATTTTTGAAAAGTTAGAAAAGAAAAAGGTCTCCAAAGTCCTTCCAAAGGCTTTGGACTAACGTCAGAGCTGGCCTGTCCCACAGGCAGGACGACGGGAGGATGAAATGAGCTGGATTAGGGAAAAGGGGTTGGCGACACACAGAGGGGCTCTGCACAGAGGTTCCTGAGGTCCCTGCTGTTTTCACTGTTCCTGTCTGACGGGAGGGAAGCAAGCAGAGCCGTAACCTCCATTGTGTGGAAGTGTCCATTGCCCCCTCCCTGAGACCTGTCTCCAGTTCCTCTTTCTCCACCTCCAGATAATTCCTACCTCAGAGGGATCAATTAAGGAAACCTATTTGGAAGAGAAAAGGGTTATTTTCAATGTGAGTAAAATGGAGATCATTGTCAGTAGGAGAAAAGCATTTATTAGCACTCTCCCTGGAGGAAAACAAAAGATGATTTGGTAGGGGGATTTAGAAGACAGGGAAACGGGAGATGGAGGGAGGAGTCCAGCGAGAGACCAACATCACAGAGGAGCCCTGACATCGTCATGACAATCTAGCAATCCTCTCCAGGGGTGTTAGCCACCTCTACGGTCCTTCCACCGCCCTGGCAAAGACAGACCCCACCCCATCCCCACAAGCCACAGGCCACCCGCTGAATCCCAGAAAACCGGCACCACCTGATTTAATGCCTGGGTCCTCAAGCCCCAGAACCCCAAGGCCAGCTCTCACTGCGGGGTGACTACCTAATGCAGCCGCTACTTTGTTCCTTTTCCTATCTGGACATAATGAGGCCTTGTAAAAAACAACATAGAAAATAAATGTTGAAAAATTAAAATCACCACAAAATTCTAACAATAACCACTGGTGTTTTGATAAAATGTTTTCCAGTCTTTTTTGTTATTCATTTCTTTTTCCTAAATAAAAAGATAGGTTTTTTTCCTTAGATCTTGCTGGAGAGAGAGAAAGGGAAAGTGAGAAATCACTCCCCAGAGGAGATGGCCACACCACAATCCCTTCTCCTCCACTCTTCTCTGAGGATTCTGGGCATACTCTCACGTGTGCACTGCATGATTTTCAGGTGGTGGGGTCTGGGCCTCGAACCAAGGTCATCCATGTGAGAGTCTAAAACCTTCACCACCACGCTACCCGCTGACCTTGATATATTATATCTTGATTTTTTTTTTTTAATTTTGTGGTAAGGCACATGCACTTGCTGGAGAGAGAGAAATCACTCCCAGGGGGTGGCCACACCACAGTCTGTTCTCCTCTTGGGATTCTATGTACACACACACATGGCCCCAGCATGTTTTTCAAGCCACCGGGTCTGGGACTCAAACTGCACAGTTAGTAATGCAGGATCCAGCCACCTTAACTCCACACCACCTGCGGCCTTAGTTTGTTTTTTTCCCTATGAATAATTTAAATGTTCTTCCATATTATCATACATCTGTGGAAGCATTTTCAATGGGCCTCTGTGGATATACTACAGTTTACTCCTCCGGCCCTCCTAAACGTTAGATGGTTAGATGGTTTTCATTTCTCTTCTTGTATTATGCCTCTACTCCCACCTTTGGGATTCCATAGCTCTCAGGGAGACAAGATTAAACAGTACACGGCCTTTTACGACCCTTGATACATCTGGCCAGATAGATTTCTGGCTAACAATGGACACTGTCTTTAATAACAACACATTTTTTTATGCACACCCTTGCCAGAATGGAATATTATAATTTTTAAAACCTCTAATATGATAGGCAAAACAATTCAATCTTTCTTAAAATATTTAGTAATTAATAGAGATGTAAATTGTTTACTAGTCATATTCTTCCCTAATTCTCCCTGTTTTGTTTTGCATTGTTTGTTTTAATTCGAGGGCATGTTCTTTTACCCCAGGAATGTGGGACGCAGAGGGCAAAAGAGGAGAGGAGAGAACCTTCTGGTAAATGTATGTAAGAACACAGATGACACGCTGTCTCCTGAACATCGCCTGGCTGGGTTCCATGTTTCACAAATGACTGTCTTAGGTCCAAAGCTCTCCTGAACTCACACCCAGCACCACCACCCACTTAACAAATCCCTCTTTGGCATGGCCGACATGCCAACATCGGCTACCCAATGGTCTTCACCGCTTGTCCTCTTGGGTGTCCCACGGGCCCCATAAATTCAGAACAGCCCACACTCAGCCTGTCTCTCCTCTCCGCAGTCCCTCCTCCCCACTCCCACCTATCGCAACCACAGGAGCTCTCGGCTGCCCGAGGCTCGGGAAATACATGGGCATCGCCCTTGCCTCTCCGCTCCCTTCGCCCAACCTTCTTTCAAGTTTTGCAAAGTCCATTTCTTTGAAAAAAAAATTTAAGCAATTTTTGCTAAAGGGGTACATGCACTTGACTGAGAGAGAGAGAGAGAGAGAGAGAGAGAGAAAGAGAGAGAGAAAGAGAGGGAAATCGCCATCCCCCGCCCAGGGGAGGATAGCCGTGCCACAATCTCTTCTCCCCTATCCTCCTCCCAGGATCTTGGGCATGCGTGCACACAGGCCTGGCATGTTTCAAGCCACCAGGTCCGGGACGGGACTCAAACCGTGGCCAGACATGTGGGAGTTCAGAGACGTAACCACTGAACATCTGCTGGTCCCCCCTTTGCTGTATCTTAGCATTTCCACTTTTTTACATGCATGCTAGTTCAAGGTTCCTTCGTCCTTCACCTAAACTGTGACAGCAGTCTGAAAGTGGCCTCTGCCCCTGTCCTAACTCTGTCCCCCCTGCCCTCCACACTACCCTGGGCCGGGCACACCCCGGAAAGGGCTGGCTCCACTCAGCTCCATCCATGGGTGAGGAAAACAGGCCCTGAAAGAGCAATCCAATCCTGAGCAGGTCACGCCCTGGTGGACCTGCTGGGGGCGCTCTCGGGTACAACACAAGGCACGCAGGCTCTCCCCCGCGCTGTCCAGCCTCCTCATTCTCCCTGTTTCTGTCTTCTCCAGGTTGTTTCTGATATGTCTATTCCTTTTACCTGGGCCACACCCCCACTGCCCCAGTGTAGACATAGCTTCCTTCGGAAGCCTTCCCTGATCTCGAGTCTGGCTGAGCTGCCCTTCTGCGAGTTCCCCTGGCATCCAGAACGCACTCTCACCGCCTCAGTAGCGCTTACCACACTACTTTTCATTTTTATTTCATGTCCCTGCACCCCGTTTGGGGAAGTTGTTCATACTGTGATAAATTTAGAGTCTTTGTCACATCCTGCACTGCATGCCAGGTTCACTGACCTCCAGTGTCATTTCCACGTGCACCTGTTAAGGTTTGCCTTGTGCCGCGCAGTTCTATGTCCCACACCCACACAACAGTCTCTCGCAGAATAGTTCCACGACCCAGCAATCTCCCTGTGCTTCTTTATCTAACACTCCCTCTGCACCCCATCACACAGTTTGGGGGCTCTACTGTAATTTCTGATTTACACATAATCTTTGTGGGGTTTAGTATCTTTTTTTTTTCTTTTAGGTTTCTGCCATTCGGTTCCTGTGCTTGCCAGAGAGAGACAAAGGGAGACAGAAATCCCTCCAAGGGGAATGACCATGCCATAATCCCTTCTCCAACATTCTGCTTTCAGGATTTGGGGCACACAGGCACATGTGCCCAGCATGATTTTCAAGTCACCAGTCCAGGACTCAAACTGTGGTCAGCCACGTGGGAGTCCAGTGCTTTAATGACCACGCCACCTGCCGACCTCTGCGGTATCATTTTAAAAGTATGTATAACCTGTATACCAGCCAAATCAAAGGTATAAATATATTTACCAGCTTCATCTTGAACATGACACTATGTTGTGGACATTTGAAATTCACTCTGCAGGGTGTTTTGGAAGTACACATGAAATTGCAAACAACACCCTCCTCTACTGCAGTACCAGCTCCTAGCCCCGGCCCTTGCCTCCAGGTATTCATGCGTCTTTGTTTTGTAGAGAATTTGGAGTTAGCAGATAGCGTAATGGCTATGTCGCTGGACTCCCATGTAGTTGACTGTGGTTCGTGTCTCGGACCCGGTGGCTTAAAACTCACACTGGGCACATGTGCGTGCGTGCCCAAAATCCCGAGAGGAGAACGGAGGAGAAGGGATTGCGGCATGGCCATCCCCCCTGGGGGGGGTGATTTCTCACTTTCTGTCTCTGTCTCTCTCTGTCTGGCGAGCGCACGCGCCCTAGAGCGAAAACCTCTCCAAAAAAAAAAAAGATAGAATTTGCCTTAGAGCACATGTACTCCAGAAAGAGACAGTGAGAGGGAAAGCGAGAAATCACCCTCAGGGGATGGCCATACCACTATCCCTTCTCCTCCACTTTCCTCCCAGGGTCTTGGGCATGCACACACTCACCTGTTACGAGTTTCGCCACCAGGTCCAGGACTCGAACTGTGGTCAGCCATGTAGGAATCCAACATAACCACTATGCCATCTGCTGGTCCCTCCTATGTCTTTCAACCAAGTTCTCCTGCTTCTATGCTATCAAATCCTCTGGCTTCCACTAATGGGCGAGGACACTTGTCATTGCTCAGTGGGGACACAGCGAGGACACAGTGACTCTGCTGAGCGCTGTCTTTGAGGTTCACTTTGTCTCAGATGATATGAGGCTGTGTAGTATTCCCTCACAATTCCTCCTTGCTTGACTCTCTCTGTCTTGGTTTCGGGGTCTGTTGAGTTTAACTCTGTGTCCCTGGCCTGAGACCAGATGCCAGCACACTGCGGATACTCTCCAAACGTGTTAAATGCAAGAACTAGAAGCAATCTGTGTACCTGCGGGTTAAGCCTGGTCCCTGAGTGGCGACAGTGCAGGCGAGGAAGTAGCTCTGACACCTCCAGCACTCCTTTCCCCAGCTCCAGCTTGCACCCAAGCCTCTCTCCACCACCTCTCCCAGGTGGCATAAGCTTGTCTGAACGACTGTGCCCACAGGTGACCACGCAGCTATTGGGCTCAGACCAGAGCTACCATCCAGGAAACAAGAGGCGGGGTGTTTAATGGGACACAGCACTCAGAGCAGTAAAGAAACGGGGCTGCAAACCCTGAGAGCTTCGGCAGGGAAGCCCGGGAAGGAACCCACGCTGACGTGTCCTTTCTAGCATGAGGACTCAGCATCCCCGCCATGCTTAGCTGAGGCCCTCTCTGAGGACGCTGAGCAGGCTGGCTTGGGGACTTGGCCCTGAACCTACCTAGGCCCCACTGGGAAACGTGCCTCTCTGGCTCCTGCCAGTTCAGAAGGGGTTGGGAGCAGCCCAGAGCCATGGGTGGAGGGGAGAGGCTTCTGACCGGTGAACCGTCGGAGCCTACACAATGGCTCTCCCTGTGCAGCTGGCTGTGCACCTGGCACCGCGCAGGGCTGGGTGCCTCTGTCCTTCCGCACACAGCACCGTCCACACAGAGAGCAGCCTTACGAATGCCCCGGAGGAGAAGTGAAATCACCGAAGGTTCTCCTTTTCTCTGCTTAGCTGGAGCCCAGCAGCTGAGGGCGGCTGCTACAAAGGCACGCCCGGCCCCCACCCCCACCCCCACACCATGGCTCAACCTGCTTTTATCATTTGATGGTTGGGAAGCTTTTGGCAAACATCCTGTTTAGAATAAAATGGGACTCAGACCGACTCTCAGGGCTAAATTTACGGCCTAGAAACTTCATGCAAACGCAAAGAGAGAGCAAAGAGCAGGACGGGCCGTGAGCACAGCGGGCACAGCCTCCACCGCCGGCGACTTCGCACAGTGAGGGCTTACCTGCACGTAGAAGGTCCTGGAGCTTGTTATGATTTCAAACAGGTTGTCCCTCATTAGCAGATCACTAGACAGAGGAAGAGAAAGACAGTGAGCGCATGCTCGGAGGCACGCAGACACCCGCCCTAAGTCGGGGCGCTTCCAGCCATTCCTCCTTCAGCCCCTGCCTCGGAAGACATTCCAGGGGCTTCTTTAAGCCTCACTTCCCAGAGGGTCGCAGAGGTCTGCCAGCCTCATGGAGCCTGTCGGCCACACTACCCTCGGCTCTAACACACAAAGCTCCTGGCCTCAAAAACCCCGCCTCACACCCAGCTCCCCTCATCCTTTCCTTGTCTCCCAGGGCCGGGTGTGCAGGAGGGCTTTGTGTGCAGCGGTTCCTCGAGTGCTTCTAGCACGAGACTGCGTCCGATCTTCATAGCGGCGCAGCGAGGCCCTGCTGGGCGTCCGCAGCTTCAGGAAGAGGAAACTCAGGCTCTGGGAGTCTAGGCGCCCTGTCTGTGGTGCCAAGGATTCCAACCCAGACTCTGGAGCCTCAGGCTGTGACTACTCATTGCCATGTGCCTCCCCTAAAGGAGCCCACTCCCCATTTCCAAAGCCTCCCTCTACCCTGCGGGCAAGCCCATCAACTTCATTCACCCCCTTCCTCACTGCACTGGCCCAGGAGACAGGCCTAAAGAGGACATGGGGGGGGAGTGGACTACCTGAAGGTGCTGTCCACTGGTGGGGGTTTGGGAAGAGAAACCCTGGCAAGTGGGAGGAAGGCGCTGAGGCCCAGAGGCAAACTCTGGTATCCCACACGAGCATCCAGTCCTTGTGGGAGGGACCCAGCTTCCCCACTCCCGACGGTTCCACTTGTGATTTTTCTGACTTTTCCATGGGGCAGAAGCAATGCACATTTAGAAACTGCGCTTCCAGGACTCGTCTAATCACTCGCTTTTCATCTCTAGTACGGGACTTGGTAAAGGACGTGGGGCCCACACGTCGTTATAGAGAGGGCCTCGTGAGAGCTGATCTGGGCAACTGCAGGCTGCCCGAAGTGAGCTGCTCGTGCTCCGGGCTTAGGCATAGTCTAAGCATCTTTGACTTCATGATGCTTTCGATTTACGATGAGTTGGGACGCACGCAACCCCATCGCAGTCAAGGAGCGTGTCAACATAAGGGGTAAAAGGTCATTCCTACCCAATAAAAGAACAAACAAAGCCAGACGCAAGTGGGCGTTAGAGTGTGTGGAGCACATCTGAGTTAGAATAAGCCCACAAACGGACGGATCACAGGCAGGGCTGGCTTTGGGAAGGAAGATTTGGAGGGGACTGGCAGGTCTGGCCAGGGCCATGGGCTCCGGGCAGAGGTGGAACGTGAAATTAAAGAGCCCCGAGGAAGGGGACAAGTCCTGACTCTGCGCAGGGAAAGGTATCTGGCACGGGGAGGGTGTAGCTCCCAGTGTAAAATGGAGATGTGGAGCCCCCTTTGCCGGGCGGGTCATCACAAAGAACAACCATAAGGTACAGAACAATCTCGTGTGTGGCTCAGAACACATTTTGCAACTGCCTTTGTTACTTTCTGAGAGTCTGATCAGTGGCCCTGCACACCGGCTAAAACGGTTTAACCTCTTAACTACCCATGCGTGTACGTGCAGTCACGTAGCCACCCACCGTGGAGGGGAAGCAAAGCAGCTAGGAAACCCCCACCCCTTTCACACCCTGTTCTCAGGCCGCAAGCTGCCTCTCCCGTCAACTTGGTTCAACAAATGTTTGCTGATTACTCAGAGCCTAAAACCAGGCTGAGCCCTCAAGAGGCCTGGAGGCTGCAGAGGCCTGGGGGCTCCCTTCCCAGCTACTACAAGTCTTCAACTCCCTCACTTCTTATTTCATGTTTTTACTTTTTAATTCTTTTTTAGGTTTTGCCATACTGCATGTACACCTACCAGAGAGAGAGACACACAGAGAGAGGGATAAAGTGAGACCCCCCCCCACCGAGGATGGCCATAATATAGCCATTTCTCTTCCATTCTCCTCTCAGGATGTAGGGCATGCACGCTCACATGTCAGGAACGATTTTCAAGCACCTGGGTCCAGGACTCAAACCGCAGTTGGCCACGTGGGAGTCCAACACCTTAACCACCATGCCACCTGCTGGCCCCTTTTCTTACTTCTTTTACTCAGAGTTTGGTGTGATTCTGACAAAGGTAGAGGTTGAGGGAAGGTCAAGGCACTCACAGGGTTGAACCCTACCCTGCCTCCCCACGCTGCCCCAGCATGCTCGGCTGGTCTCACCTCTCCTTGGGCCTTCCAGGTCAGGAGCCATCAAGGCTCTCCAAGGGGCTAGTCATGCCCGGTCTGCCCTCTGCCCTCTGCCCACTGCCCAGCTCCGGAGCCACACTCCCAGGACTTTCATCTACAGCTACCTCCATGCACTGTAAACTGTCATGGGAAACCGCCCCAGTCTTCAACTGCCGTGGCCAAGACTCAGCTCCGCGTTTCTGTCCCAGCTTCCCTGGCCCACAGCGTTTCCCTGGACGAGCACCCCAGGCCTTCGTGAGAGCGGGCTGCCTGATGTGGACGGCCACCCTGATGAGTGGGGGCTCTCCACGCAGCCCATGGGAAGGAGACACAGCACAGAGCTCCTCAGGACTGCCAGCGGATGGTGGCCAGAGAGAGGACTTCTAGGTGGCCAGAAACCCCTGGAGTTTCAGCAGCTTAGTTCTCGGGACGTCTGTGGTGGTGGTGGATGTGGGAGACCACTTGCCGGCTCCCAAACTCGTCCTACGAACCATGGCACTTGGAAGGTAACCATTTCCCCACAGAAAGAAAAACGCATTAAAAAATACTTGTTCTGGGGCCAGCAGTTAGAGTAATGGCTATGTCGCTGGACTCCCACATAGTCAACCGCAGTTCATGTCTCGGACCCAGTGGCTTAAAAAACTCATGCCAGGTACGTGTACGTGCGTGCCCAAGATCCCAAGAGGAGAATGGAGGAGAAGGGATTGCGGCGTGACCATCCCCCCTGGGGGGTGATTTCTCGCTTTCTGTCTCTCTGTCTCTCTCTGTCTGTCTCGTGAGCGCACCCGAGAAAAAACCTTTAAAAAAAAAAAAAAAAAAAAAAACTTGTTCTTTGGGCCAGCCAGTCGTGTGGTGGTAAGGAAGCTGGATCCTACACAGTTGACTGTGTGGTTCAAATCCCGGGCTTGGCGGATTGAAAATGACCTTCAAAAACGACACCAAGCACATATGTGCGTGCACCCGACACCCCAAAGGAGAGAGAGATGGAAGAGCAAGGATTATGGTGTGACCGTCTCCCCTGAGGAGCGCTTTCTCTTCCCCATCTGCTTCTCCCCAGCGAGCACACACACCCATTAGTGAATTTTTAAAAATAAATCCTCATTCTTCCTGCTCACTGGGAGTCACAGAGAGATGCTGTGAATTACCCGTGTTCATGGGGCACCAGGTTGAAAGGCGGAAAAGAGCGAAGGCCTACGAAGGCCTACAGTGTTCAGGAAAGCGGCTCCACCCCGCAGGGCCGGGCGAGCGCGGGGAGCCAGACCTAGGCACAGCGCCTGCTCTAGCCGGTCCTCCTGGGACTGGCATCTGAGTCTAGCCTCGGAAGCCGCTGAGCTCTGCTCTCTTCTTGGTTTGGGCATTTTTTCGTTTTTTGTTTTTTCTCCACCAGAAATGATCAATAGGTTTAACACATGAGGAGCCAGGGCGAGGCGATGGTAAGAGGGTTCCCTGAGGCATTAGGGCTTTGAAGATGAGGACTCTGAGTAGGGCCTTCAAAGGGAAAATATAGAGAGACTGAAGGGGACCAAGGAAGGTTCTGGGCAGGGAAGAAGCAGAGACACTTACCCAGACTTGACCAGACACTCGTGCGTCTTGAGGACGTCCTTGAGAAAGATGGTGCGCAGGGGCTCTCGGTCCTGGCGGCACAAACAGAGAACGGGGTCAAGGAGAGACGCTCATCCCGGTCGAGCCGGCCAGCTGGCTGGCGACCCTTCGGAGATGTCTGGCCAAACCACGCTGGCCAACAACCTGGTCTCGAAATAATCAAGGGGGGAAAGTCTGAAACGTTCCAGGTTCCTGACCCACGCACAGCTCGCTGTGAGGAGCGAGGACGTCGTGGCCACTTCCTGCCACTGCGAAGATGATCACCCGAACGGGGGGACCAGGCAGGTGCCTGTGCAGTCTGCGTGTGTGCCCGTATCTCTGCTCACACCCACCCTCCCGCAGGAGTACATTCACACACCTCTGAGCACCCAGGACCTCTCAGAGGGGCCCATGGGGCCAGCAGGTGGCATGGTGGTTAAGGGCGCAGACTCCCACATAGTCGGCCGCCGTTCGAGTCCTGGACCTGGTAGTTTGCTTTCTTACTTCTTCTCTCTCTCATTCAGTCTGTCCCTTTCTATTCAACTAAATAAAAAGAGTTAAATAAAATAATTCTTTTTTAAAAAAAGGAGAGTGACCACAAACCTGCTCGCACTTGAAATAGCAGATGGTAAAGTCATCGAGGGCAAAGAAGCGCCGTTTCCAGCTCTTCCGCTGAAATAAGAGAGAAAGCAGGACGTTCGGGACCCTCCCCAGCACTGCAGAAGGCGTGGCCCACGAAGCCAGGCTCCACAGTCAGCCAGCGCTGTGGAGGCCTCCTCAGAGCAGGGCGGTACCTCGACACAGAGCTGCTCCCAGCTCTCGCTCTGCTCCACCCACCCCCGCTGGCTCTGGAGGAGCCCACGGAACAGGATCCGGCCTCCGACACTCACCACGTTCCCTTGCTTCACGCAGTAGCCGCTCTTGATGAGGGGGGGGCCAGGGGGAGCGCGGCAGCCCGTGGTGGGGATGTAGCTCTGAGACCTCCGCAGCAGGGCGTGGGACCCCTGCTCGCCCCCTTCCTGCCCATCTCCACCATTCTGCAAGGAAAGAGTCCCATAGCACCAGCCCCGCCCTCCCTCACAGCAGCCAGAGGAGGAGAACCCAGGAAGCCAACAGTACTCTGCCCTGGCGGCTCTCCACTAGGAGCTTCTACACAGCAGGTCTGGGGAGGTTGGCCAGACCCGGAGAAACGGAGGGCAGAGCTCGCACACAGAGCAGCAGGCACCCACCTGGAGGAGGACGGATGGCGGGGAGGTGCCAGCAAGGCCATGTCCCAGGTCTGGTGCCACTCCGAAGGCTCTGCCTCGGCTTCTGCACCGCCCTCGCCGCACCCACTCTGCTCGGCATGTTCCTGATGGCCCATCTGCACCAGCCCCCTCACTGCCACCCACACTGTCCTGGAACACACCTCCCGCCTGTCGCTGGCACGCAGACCCTGCCGCCCCCACCACCCACCCCGCAGCCCAGCCAGCCCCAGTACCTGGTTGATGGGCGTGTGCACCACCACCCCTCCGATGATCTCAGTCTTGTAGGCCACCTGTGGCTTCTTTTCCGGGGCCGGAGGTGCAGTTAGGCTTTTGAGCACTTCGGTGGCCAGGGGCAGGCTGCCGGCTTTGGGTACCTGAGGAAACGCAGTATGGTCAGTGGGGAACAGGAGGCTTGGGGAGAGTGGGGAGCCAGGTCAGGATGGGAGGGTGCTAAGATATTCTGGTCAGCTCTCTCCCCTCTCCAGCCCTCCCAGGACCCAATCTTAACATGGGAACACAGCTAGTAACCCCTTCCACACACACGTGCACAGGTCCACATACATACACATGTGTGCGCACACACACACAAATTCACTGAGCACCTGGTCTGAGCCAGTCCCTCCCTGCCTAGAAACCAAAGCTAAAACTTCAAGTACGACGGACGAACTTCAAGTCCATCGAAGCACGACTCAAGAGGAGACTCCTAACCCGCAGAGTGATTTTGGACGGTGGTGAGCATGCAGAGAACCGGCAGAGAGGGAGCAGGGAAGGGCCTGCCCGGCCTGGTGTGGCAGAGGAGGAGAGACGGAAACAGCGGCTGGGAGGGCAGAGAGGAGCCAGACCATGAAGTTAGCAGAAAGCCTACCAGGCAGGTGGAACAGGTCGAAACACATGTGTGGAGCGCAGGTTAGCCAGGCCACCCCGCAAACAGCCATCCCCAGAACACAGGGGGCTGCAGTCCCCTCCTGCAGGCGCACACCCCCAGGAAGGAAGTCAGCAGACTCTAAGCTGCCCCGTGTCACCCAGCACTGCTCACAGCAGCCGAGATGTGGAATCAACCTAGGTGCCACTGCCAGATGATGGACAAGGGACGTGTGGCATGGGCACGATGGGACGTCACTCAGCACAGAAAAGGATGAGGTCCTGCCATTTGGGGAACACGGATGAGCCCAGAGAACATAACATCGAGGGAAAGGGCCCAGGCACAGAAAGAGAAAAATGGTGTGTTCTCACACATGTGGAAACTAAAACAGGGGACCGCGCAGAAGCAGAGTGTAGGACAGTGGCCACCGGGGCTGGGAAGGCAGGCTGCGATAAGAGAGGTTATTAACAGACACAAAATAATGGCCGGGGAAGAGGAGCAAGTGCCAGCCTCCCATAGCACAGTAGGTCACGACAGCTAAAAAAGCTCAAAGTCCTTTACAGTATATTTCAAAATAGCTCAGAGAGGATTTTAAGTGCTCCCCACCCCAAGTGATGGCGTGCTGCCATGACAGGTCGCTAACTACCCAGGGTGGTCTTGACCTCTCCCTAACACCTGAGTGACCTTCAGCAGATCACCGAACCTACTGAGGCCTGAACGGGCTCGTGAAAACATCAAAGAGAAATAATATTGATGTCATAAGTTCGGTTCTCAAATGATAGAGTATACACATGCACACACTTCAGAAACACAAATGAAAATATAAAAGCATCACGGCCACTAGCACAGATGGTACTGACATCTACAAACAGCGCCCTTCGGGAAGAACACGGTCCTTCAGCTCTTCCCAAATGGACTTACACTGGTCCAGCTGATGTGGTCCCCCTCATGGGCTGTGTCAGCTGGAACCCACAGGCTGGAGGCTGCAAACCGGTGGCTGACCGGCCGGCTCTGCCTCAACTATGTTTTATTTGTCCCGTGCAGGGTGTTTTGTTTTTTGTTTGTTTGTTTGTTTGTTTTTTGAGAGGTCTTTCGCTATAGGGCGCGTGCGCTCGCCAGACAGAGAGAGACAGAGAGACAGAAAGTGAGAAATCACCCCCCAGGGGGGATGGCCATGCCGCAATCCCTTCTCCTCCATTCTCCTCTCGGGATCTTGGGCACGCACACACACGCGCCCGGCGTGAGTTTTAAGCTACAGGGTCTGGGATGCGAACCGCGGTCGACTACGTGGGAGTCCAGCGACATAGCCATTACGCTAACTGCTGGTTCCCCGGTGCAGGGTGTTTTTCAAAGTATTTCTAAAATTTGAGTTATTTCACATACACACACACAAAAAAAATCTACCTGTCAGATGTCGCTTGTCATTTCTATTGTCACTTTCCTTCCTCCTTGCTCACATTACTCACTTATACTGGAGTCTGCAAACTGGTGAAACCTTTTCATTTTGTACAATAAAAAAAGAGAGGCTAGAGCAGTAAAGTCGTTTGCCCCAAGCCACGATGAGCCGCTGAACGGGTGAGACTAAACCCTGATCCCAGCCCACAGCATCACGCCTCCACGCCTTCCTACGTCCACACAACACCCCACCCTGCGTCCACCTGCCAGGGAGGTGAGCACAGAGCTCGTGAGCAGAGGAAAGTTCTCTTCCACTTCTACAGGCTTCAGAGTCAGAAAGACCTAAGACCCCAGGCCCTTCCCAGAGCTCTCAGATGGATGAGGACTACAAGAAAGGGACTGAAAGTGATAGTGTTTGGTGTCTGTTCAAAGCAGTAAGACCAGCGTGACTGTACTGGGTCTCTGGAAAGAAAATGAGACCCTCTCAGGACCAGCAGATGGTGTAATGGCTATGTCACTGGACTCCCACGTAGTTGGCTACAGTTCGAGTCCCAGACCTGGCAACTTAAAACTCATACCTGGTACATGTGCGTGTATGCCCAAGATCCCGGGAGGAGAATGGAGAAGGGACTGAGGCATGGCCATCCCCCTGGGGGGGTGATTTCTCACTTTCCTTGTCTCTTCAGTGAGTGCATGCACCCTACTGCAAAAAATCTCTCTTTAAAAAAAGAAAGAAAGAAAAAGAAAAAAAAATGAAACCCTCTCTTCCGGGCCTGAGTACTCAGCTGACATATACCAAGATGACCTCTGCCCCTATGTCTATGAATCAGGTCACTTTCTCATCTCTTCTGACCATCCAAGAGGTGCCAGCAGTGACCATTTCTTTGGGCCCTGCAGTGCCAGGCAGTGTGCTAAGCTCCTTCCTGCATTATCCCTAATCCTCGAGCAGCCTCAGCAAGCAGGCACAACTTTCTCCATTTTACAGTGGAGGTAAAGCAAAGTTCATTCCAATGAAGACATTTGCCCTAGGACTGCACGGCTCCTCTTTGCTACATAGCACTACCTACCTAAGCCACCCTCCCGCTTCTCTGTGAGTTCTGCTAGCATGTAGACAAATTTTTTAGGGATGTTGGGTTATGCTGATAAACAGTAATCCCCATGCGACAGCAAAAATTTCCCCAAATGACCCAGAGGAATTCCCAAAACCCAGTCAAGAAGGAAGTACATGTGTGGGGTTCTCAGCAGCCAGAAGAAGACACCCAGAAGGCCACTGGTTGTCACGCCGATGTCCCTAGACCACAGGATGGCTCTGATCAACGATGCAGGGCCTTTCCAAAGCTGTCCCCATGGCTGAGACCTTAAACCAACCTGTGCAGGATAAACTCAACCATAACTAAGCTACAGAAGCTTGAAAGTAAGGTCGTCCTTTCGGTTTGTCCACATCCCAGAGGCCGAGGTGTGGCCTCCACCACCCGCCTATGGAGAGCCACGTAGGTCTCATTCGCAACATGCACTAACATTTACAAGGCCTCCTCTCTCTTCCTTGGTTGGACTGCTATGAGGAATAATCCAACTTTGGGGGAAAACTATGCTTTCCTTTCACTGCTCAGTTTTCAACCTTTTTGAGATGAAATGAGCTGAATAACGTCCCCACGAACTGTCTACCCGTAACCTTAGAACACGACCTGACCCGGAAATAGTCTTTACAAACATAACTGGATTATGACGCGGTCATACAGGCTGAGGGAGCCCTCCTTCCAACTGATGCCCTTATAAGAAGAGGGAAAGACCTGTGACCGGGAAGAAGGCCATCTGACAGAGGCAGAGAGGGCCAGGGACATCAAGGATTACTGGGAGCCACTGAAAGCGAGGGAGGCAAGCAGGACCCTTCCCAAGAGGGTTCAGAAGGCGCAGCCCTGCTGACACCTGAATTTCAGACTTTGGCCTCTAGAACCGTGAGAGATAAATTTCCTTGCATCACGCCCTCCCAGGTCATTACAATCCTCAGAAACTAATACAGGATACTGATACTTGGAGAAAACTCTATTTTTTTTCAACTTTTTTCTTTAGGGCATGTGCACTCACCAGAGAGAGGTAGAGAGAGGGAAATTGAGAAATCACCCCAAGGGGGGCTGGCCACACCACAGTCCCTTCTTCAGCCCCTCTAGATGTGGAGCACCCACACACATGGGCCCAGAATGATTCTTGAGCCACCGGGTCCTGGACTTGAACTGCCCAGTCAGCCATGTGGGTTCCAGAAACTTCATCTCTGCACTGCCTGCTGGTCCACAGAACCTGATTCTTTAAATACCATGGGCTGGATTTCTTCCATGGTAAGGGCTCCAGGATGTTGGCATAGGATGACCTTGTAAACCAAAAACGCTGAACCCTCCTGCCCCACAGCCCTGACCAAGTGACCTTGATCTCCAAACACTCCCTTTCCTTGCTTATAAACAGCAATAATAACACACGCCCTCCTCCCCAGGGTTTTTATAAGGCTAGAATGAAGCCACGGCTGTAAAGGAAGGTGTGTAATCTACACACTTTACAACTGTCATTCATTCTTAATATTTTTAAAAACTGCAAGCTCAGAGGGCCTGCAGGTGGTGTGGTGTGAAGGGCACTGGGCTCCCACATAGCTGACCATGGTTCGAGTCCTGGATCTGGTGGCTTGCCTGCTCACTTTCTCTCTCCCTCCCTCTGTCCCTCTTGGGTCAAATTAAATAAACAAATGAGTGAATAAAAATAGTTAAATAAAATAATTCTTTTAAAACAACTAAACGGCAAGCTCACAGGTCTTGGAAGGTGGGGACCTGGGCTGGAACCCCAGCGTAGCATTTCCTAACCTCTCGAGCTGACCTGAGACTGCTCTCCATTTCCCTCATCTCAGAACGGCAGTGGAGCAGCCTATCTCACAGCAGGGACGTAAGGGGCGAATGACACAGGACCCACAAAAGCTGCTGCACTACATTCTCTGTCCCCCTCACCCCGTGTCCCTCGAGTGCCTGCCACTCACCCTGCATGTGAGGTACTCTAAGGTTTCACCCATGTGATGTCACTGCCCACATCCACCTGACTCGCCCCCTCCCTAAGGAAGGACATCTAACGTGGGATGATGCAGAAGGCAGGGAAAGGATGGCCCAGCCTGCAGGAGGGGGATGTCAGTCAACACACTGAGCTCCAGTGCTGGAAGCCACACGGCTGACCACGGGGTAGGGTCTCTGGCCACTCTGGAATACGCCTGGCGCACGTGTGCACATCTGGCATCCTGATGAGCTGGCGGGCTGCAGGAAGGGGTTGCAGCGTGTCGAGACCCTGAGAGGGCCCTTCTCTCTCACTACTGCATACGTGTGTGCTCTCTATCCTGAATAAAAATAAATTATAAAAGAAAAAGGAGAGAGGAGTAAGCCCTTCCAGGACGCAAGATTAGGAGGAAGCAGAGCACCCCTCCTCCTTCCATTCCTTGGGACTCTGGCAGGAGGTGAGAAGAGATCTATAACTGAGAAAGGAACGCGAGGAGCTCACGGAGCTCCGGAGGCTCTGGGGACAGCTCTGAGGCACGGGCAGGCCATGGCACCCGTCCCCGCACACCAGGCCTCCTGTCCCTCCTGCAGCCTGCGCCTTCTGACCTGGGGGGTCAGAGAAGACGAGAGGGAACCAGCAGCCTAGAGCAATGCTCTGCCCGAGGCACAAGGAGTGCAGAGCGCCTCAGTCTGCCCTGCAGGCCGTGCAGCCCCTCACAGGGAGCATCAGAGCCGGGGAAGCAGAGGACGCACTGAGACCGCGCCGCTGTGGGCCACCTGGGATGGCGAGGCCCCCCACAGGCATGAAAAAGCTTTCCCTAAAATGAATGCGCTAGAACCAGGCACGCAGGCGAGCACAGGTGGGCGGTGAGGCAGCCTCAGCCCTCCCTCCACGACTCACCCTTCTCATGGGTTTACTGTCTGTCCAAACAAAGGAGCACAACCACCGAGGTGACTGCTGCGCTCTGGCGGGTCCAGCCACGCCCGGGCGGAGAGGCACACAGGCTTCCTCTGAGTTACCCACTGGGACCGGGGCTCTCAGGGAACACTGCCCAGCACTTGGTCCTTTCCTCGGAAGTCCAAGTCCCCGCATGTACGCAGCCTGGCTGTCACACAGAAACGCACACAGACCACGGCGCACCCGCCAGGAGGCTGCCGGGCACACTTGTAGCACAGGCCATGGACCAGCTCCTGCAACCTCTTCGAGGAGGAAGAACAACTCAGAAAAGGCCCTGCCCACCCTCCTCAGGCGTGCTGCCCTTTCCTCTGCTTCTCAGGGCCGGTGACCCAAGCTCCAGTCCTGTCACACCCTGAATGGGCATCCTACAGTTACCCAGGAGGCACACCAGGGACTCACCATAAACGCCTCACTGAACTTGGTTCTAACTTGGACTTTTAGTACACGAAGGGGCAGGGGACAAGGAGGTCTGGACCAGGGTCCTGGGAAAGTGCCTGCCCTCGAGCTCCTCCCCACCCACACAGGCACTCTGCCGGGAAGGAGCTCTTCTGCTCTCCCCGGAGAAGAGGAGGAATCGTACGTACAGTGATCTTGCTGGCATGGTTCAGGGCTTCCACCCAGTCCTTCAGATCTTTCTGGTCATTGGCTTGAAGAAAATATCTCTGAGACAGGGCGTTGATAACTGCAAAAGTCACAGGAAAAAGAGGAAGAATTCCCAGGTCAGAACACACACCACACGGGACACCCCCAAGCTAAGTTGTCAGAGGCATCAAGAGGGATGAATCCCATGGAGCACACGGAGAACCCGCGACACCGAGTCACCACATGGCTATTCAGGAAGAGCATGTCTTGGCAGCTCGCTCTCTCCCCACCATTAAAAACAGTTAGGCCAGCCCGTGGCATGGTGGTTAAGGGAGCTGGATTCCTTATGGTCAACCATACAGTGTGAGTCCTGAACCTGGTGGCCTGAAAGACACACCGGGCATATGTGTGTGCATGTTCAAGATGCCGCGAGGAGGGAGGCATGGAGGAGAAGGGATTGCTGTGTGACCACTCCCCATAAGGGGTGCCTTCTCCCTCTCTCTCCGTCTCCAGTGAGTGTATATGACATCTGGCAAAAAAACACTAAGTGAAGGTAGTTCCACTGGCCATGAGAACACCTGACAGCAGGGGCAGCTCTGAACGTGCTGTCCGCGGTGGTGAGGGACTGGACTGCCATCCAGACGCACCCACCAACAGCTCTACGCAGTGCTGACGCGTTCTCCGTGGACACGAGACCTACAGTTTTGGACTCGGTGCCGTTCCCACCAGCACCACTGTCCAGTTTCAAGTCTTGTCTGCGGCTGGGGAACAGCAGAGCTCTGTCTAACAGCAGGTGTGAGACGGGAGCCTCGTTTTCAGCCCGTTCTTTCCTCTCAGAACTCCATCAGGGCCGCCAGTTACCCCTGGATTCATATGACATATGTTTTTCAGATTGTTTGCCACAAAATCTGAGAGTCTTTTATTTTTTAATGTTTTTGCCATAGGGTGTGTGTGCTAGAGAGAGACAGAGAGGAAGAGTGAGAAATCACCACCCAGGAGGGACAGGTACACCACAATCCCTTCCCCTTCACTCTCCTCTCAGGATTTTGGGCACACGTGCACACGTGCACAGCATGATGCTCAAGCAATCAGGTCCAGGGTTTGAACTGTGATCGGCCATGTGGGAGTCTAGCACCTTAAGCACTTTGCCACCTTCTGTCCCCTCTGAGAGTCGTTTTTGAGCTTGGCAATGATATTTGAAAGAAATGTGAGCAGGGGAACAGCAAGCGTGAGCCAGTCTGAAGCAGAGAAGACAGACGGACAAGGACTAGCACATCCCCCCAGTGTCAGCCTGAGCTGCCGCGGAGAGTACGGAGGCCTAGACCAGGAATTCTGTAGTCCATGCGTTGAACTGAAGGTCCCTAAGCACCCACTGTGTGCCAAGAGCCATTCTAAATGCTGAGAGCACTGCAGCCACAATGCGGAGGGATACCCCTGCCGCCAGAAACTCACATTCAAAACCACTCTATGGGAAGAGTCCCTTATCCAAACTGCCCAGGATCAGAAGGGTTTCAGATTCGGATTTTGGATTACTTGCATCCAAATATTGAGACATTTAGGGGACGGAACTAAGTCTAACAGGAACCCGCTTACATTTCACACACAGCTCACACACGCGCCTGTGCTGTTCCTGCAGTGCCGCATGCGGGCTGCAAGCCACCCCATCAGGCCAGGCGTGGGCCTCCCCACCAATGGCACCACGTGGCGCTCCAAGCAGATTTGGGGTTTTCGGGCTTTTGGATCAGGGAACGCACAACCTGAACAACAATCTGTTTGTATTCCCTTGTAGCATTCAGTACAGCTCTGACAATATGGTGGGAGCCAGGTAGCTCATCACAGCCGCCTGAATTCACAGAACCGTCGCTCACTCGGAACGCTAGGACCCTCAACAGGACCCGCCTACATTCTCGGCTCAGCCCCTTTCCCCAGGCCTGTACCTCTCCTAACTGAGCTCTTGCATCAGGGTCCCTAAAAACCTCAAGGAAATACTCTGCACCCGCCCCACGGCATCAAGAAAACCGAAATGTGTCCAGGCCCTGTGCATCTGTCCTGTGTGTTTGTGCTTTGTTTTTTGTTTTGTTTTGTTTTGAGAGGTTTTTGCTATAGGGTGCATGTGCTTGCCAGAAAGACAGAAAGCGAGAAATCACCCCCCAGGGGGGATGGCCACGTTGCAATCCCTTCTCCTCCATTCTCCTCTCAGGATCTTGGGCACTCACGCACATGTGCCCAGTGTGAGTTTAACCCACTGGGTCACGGACTTGAACTGGGGTTGACTACATGGGAATCCAGTGACATAGCCATTACACCAACTGCTGGTCCCTGTCCTGTGTTTATAACAACCTTTGAAGCCAGACCAAGGAAAGCCATGTCACTTGACCCCCAGGAGTGTCCCTGTGATTTAAGTCACTCATACACTCAGGGTCTGGTCACATGTGATCACAGGACTGTCTCTGCAAAAGAGGAAGTAGCCAACGAAGCCCGTCCCTTAGCCCAGTACTTACCAAAGCAAAATGAAGTCTTCGGTTTCTGCTTTGGAGTGGCTATGCTCACCTAAACCAAAGGAAAAACACAAGGAACATGAAGCCGTTTCTCAGTGCTGGGAAACTTTGTTGTGAAGTCTTTCCTGCATAAAACAAGGGCATGTCAAGCATACGTGTACATCCGGAAGGACACGAATTCAGTGAAAACCCTGGACTCAGCACCCAGGTTAAGAAATAGCTACTATCAGTCCTACTTCTCAGAAGCCCTCTGCCTGGCCCTCCCTGGCCAAAGCCCCGCCTCTCAGAGATAACCACTATCTTGATGTCCCTGTTCACCTTCAGTCTTTGCAAACTCACACTAAAAAGCCACCAAGTCCTGACAAAATCCTCACCAACCCACGAAACCTGCCCAGCCCCACTGGTATCTGCAGCCTTCCCTCCTCTCCCAGCCACCCTCCCCTCCCCTCCCCTCCCTCACCAGCTCTCCAGATGAGGCTGGTGCAGGGCCAGCAGGTGGAATGGTGGTTAAGGCTCTGGATTCCCACATGGCCAACCACTATTCGAGTCCCAGATCCAGTGGCTTGAAAATCACCCAGGTACAGGTGTGTGTATGCCCCAAATCCCAGAATGGAAGAGAAAGGACCGTGGTGTGGCCAGTCTTCTCTCGGTGGTGTGTAGGGGGTGATTTCTCACTTTTCTCTCTCTGTCTCTCTCCAGCAAGGACACACACCCTATGGCAAAAACCTAAAACAAACAAAAACGAGCAGAAAAGTGGAGCTGGAATTGCTGCAAACACAGACTCCACCCAGAGCCTGGGGAGGGAGCCCAGCCCACCAGGCGCTGAGACTCACTGACCAACGACCGACCGGCGGCCCTTACCTCTCCCCAGGCTGCCTACCCACGACCACCAGCACTTTCCACAGGCCCAGACAGGGGCTGATGGAAGCAGAGGGGCGAGGTATTTAAGGGGAGGGTGCTGACCTAGCCAAGGCTGGCCTTTGCACTCCTGCCCTTGAACACACACTCCTGAGCCTCTGCCTCTATGAGCCCATGGCATCGGGTTCGCACACGCAGAGAGAATACAGAGAGCGGCTCGCCTCTCCTCCATCATGTGCCACAGAGACAGGGCGACTATTCCTGTTCGGGATGAGTCCCCCAGAGCGAGCCTCCATCCCCGCACCTGGGTCTCTAAGGAGGCACCGCCTGCCCCTAAGGCTGGTCAGAATCCCCCCTCGTCACTGTCCCCCCAGCCCCTGTCCAGCCAAGAGCGTTCTATTTGTTCTCTCTTAGGGCTCCGGAAGGGGCTCCTACTGTATCAGGGGGCGAGTTGAGAGCCAGGAGTTACGGAAACTCTTGAGTCGAAATGAACGTCTCTGTGGCTCACAGCTGCCGGGCTCCAATACCAGCGGCCCCCACTTAGTGCAGCTGCTCGTCCCTGGCTCTGTGTCCTTCTGTAGCCCTGGCCAGGTTCCCGAACCAATTAATGTCACCCCAAATACTGAGGTAGCGCCCAACAAAAGATCGCAAGAAGGACCAGCAGTACAGCCTGGGCTCTGGGCGCCGAGAGTGGCCGGCCGCCGTGTTCCGGCCGTGTGACCTCCATTTCCTGTCCCGGCAGTAAGGGGCACTAATGACACGTTCTCATGGGGCTACTGTGAGGGTCAATGCTGACGGTGAGGGTAGGCACGCACTGTATAGAATCTCATTACTCACGCAGGGCGCCTGTGCTCGCCACCGAGGACAGAGACAGAGAGATACAGAGAGAGGGAATATGAGAAATCAGCCTCCAGCAGGGGTGTCCACACCACAATCCCTTCTCCTTAATACTCTTCTTGAGATTTGGGGCATGCACACACAAGCGCCCAGCATGATTTTCAAGCCACCATGTACGGGACTCAAACCGCAGTTGACTGTATGGGAATCCAGTGCCTTAACCACCGCACCACCTGTTGGCCCCAAGGAAGGGCTACTTAATACAGCCCCTCTACCTCATTTCCTCTAAGACCTAGCCGGCACACTGACACAGACAATGCCACCTTGGAACTGTGGGCAAAATGTCCAAGAGCCTTGAGCTTCTCAGGGCCTGCAAAAATATAGGAGACCCAGGGACGAGGCCCGCTCTGCTACGTATGAACCGGGGCCAGCATAGCTAACACTCATAAGTGTCTCATGAGGTGTCTGCAGACCGTGACGCCCACCTCACTGACGGCGACTTCGCTGAATGTGTACGAGATGTCACATTAAGTCAACCTCATCTATTTTCCAATTAGGCTTTCGAAAAATTACATTACATTTAAAATAATTAGCCTCGATTTTCTTAGTTTACAAGAATCTTTGTGTGTGCAAGATGACAGCCCAGAAATCAGAGCCAATCATAAATTAGATGAATTACTCATAGCCAAATCATTCCACGGGCAAAATGATTAAAATCCTTTCAGATCCTTTACAGCCAATTATACATAATGAGGGATGTGGGTGCATTTGGATGTGTTTACCAGGATGTGAGGTGGAGGCCGCAGGGCCAAAGGGAGCCCTGAAAAACACGAAGATTTAAGCAAAGGTGAACCCACATATCCTGAATTCCGACAGACTACCCAAATCAGTCATGTCTCAGTTCAGAGGTGACAGGACACTGGCACTTGTGACGTTAACGGCCTCTTGCCATCCTGTTTTCCTGGGTGCCTGACCCTGAATTCAATCTGAGCCACAGGGTGCACCTCGGCCGGCCTGTCTGCAGGGCTGGTCTGTGGGTGACCTGTTCCTGGCTGTGCCCCGCATCCTGGTCCCATGGCTCCCTCGTCCATAAACTCCTGCGTGTCCTTCCCTTGGCTCCTGTATAACCCAGCAACCACAGAACTGCCCTGGCCTCCCCTGGCCCGCAGGGCCCAGCTCATGGCCCCCTTTCGACGTGCAGCTTTAGAATGACTGGAAAGCCAGGGACTCCAAGACTCTCTCTGGCTTTTTACCGGACTCACCCTTTCTCCGAGAAACTCCCATTGACACCGACTAGAAAAACCACCCCTTGCTATGTGTGGGCTTACTGGGGGCACTCACGCTCTCCGAGAGACTGTCTGACCGGCTGTTTTTGTTTCTACCCCTTTATCCGGCTTTCCAGCAGGAGGCACAAGCCAGTGCACGCGTGTACATGTACCATGTGCCTCAGGCCTCACGGCTGACCACAGAAGGATTATTTGGCAAAGTAACTCATTGCTGAATTAGCAGGGTCGGTTCCAGTCCTGCACTGCATGGCTGTGTGGCCAGGTTAGGACCTGCAGTGTCTCTGATCAGCTTCCCAGTTGGTAAAGCCACGTTGGAAGTACCAGTCCCCTCTCCTACGGCCTTGGAGGGCAAGGGAGGAAACCGCAGTCGATCTCCCTGTGCTGGGCAGCACCTGCACCCTGCCTGAGGGTGGAGCCCAGGCTCTGGCCTCTTCCTGCTGTCCCGGTAACCATGGAGGTGGATGGACTCCTGCCTGCTGGAGGCACAAACCAGTCTACTCTCTCTCCATCACCTGCTGGGGACAGGGCAGGCTGCCATAGCCCCTGTCAGCCCTAGCGCGGGAACAGAGCTCCTTGTGGGGAGTGTGGCTACAGTGGGCGAGGACACCTGTCCGTCCGGCCCAGGTGGGGCACCGAAGCACAGTCATCTCGGATAGCTGCCCAGGAGCACCGACAGGTGGGACCTGTGCCCACGCCGGCAGGGAGGGGGCCAGGAGGAGAGGAGGGCAGGAGGCTCAAGCCACCGTGGAATGATGCGGACAGGGCTGCTGCACAGCTCAGCAGACGCTCGGGAACGTGCTCTTATCGCTTTGAGCACAGACCACAGGAGCAACAGGCTCGTGGGTAGCCCCGCCCTGTCTGCCCGTGGCCGGAAGTGGAGCTGGGGCCCCTCGGGCAGAAGCGGCACCGACAAACAAGGTCTTGGGGCTCTGGTGAGGCGCAGGCCCAGCGTCCAGGTGCTCCTGCCCCACAGGGTGGCTTCGGGGCACGAGCACAGAAGGCTGCGGAGGTCTCGAGTCGGGGTCCCTGGATCACTTCAGAAAGTAGAGGAACCCTGACACCCTGACATGACAGGCAAAGCCAGGGTGTGTACCACACAATATCCCTTTCTCTGGAAAACAGGTCCACGCCTGTCATCAGGCTTCAGAAAGGGCCCGTGTCCACCTGCCCCCCCATAAACAGTTAAGAACCACTGCCCCAGGAATTCTTCCTGACAGGTAGCTGACAGCAAGGTCCTGACAAAATGGGACACAGCTGGGGGCTGGGAGAGACGGCCTGGCCGGACAGAGCTGCTGGGGTGGGGGAGAGGGGCATCGGCACAGTGGGGGCAGCAGGTGGTGCCCAAGGCAGCTTCCAGCATCTTCTAGTGGACCGAAGAGCTGGTTCTGTCATCACCGATGGCCTGGGTGACATCAGATCAGGCACTTTCATCTCTGCTTGCCTCTCAGAAGGAGCTCACCTTCCCGACACGGGCCTCAGGAGACGCCTACCGAAGTGCCGAGGCCGAGGCAGACGGGAGCCCATGGCCGCACCCCTGCCTCCCTCTGGGCGGGAACAGCAGGGTCAACGAGGGATAGCCTGGCCCACTGGCTTGGATACCAGCACCATGGCTAACCGTCTTCCTGGGAAAACCCTTGTCCTGGCACAGGGCTGGGCCGAGGTAAAGGCCCTGGCTGTGTGTAACCCGATCTTGCAGCAGCTGTGGGCTCTGCACGTTGCCCACAGAGGCCTGCCTCTCTGGGAAGGCCAATGGCCCTGGCCTCTCCTGGCCTGCAGAGCCCACCACCTCATGGCTCCAACAGAGAATTCTAAAACCCACAACTGAGCTGCTTCATAAATCAGAAGCATGATTCAGCAGACTGGAGGCAGCTTTACCACCAACAAAAACACATGATTCTTCCTACCCTGGGCCTCTTAGGAGGAGAGGGCTTCAGGGGCTCTGCATCCCCATCTCCATTCTCTTTCTGGAACCTACAGGAGAAATGACCGACCGAGCTCACAGCAAGATGAACACGAGGGAGGGAGGGGCGCAGGGCAGGCCTCCGTGGCTGGGTGGCCACTGTTCACCCAGGCCATGCACGGACTACCCGCGGCTGTGCTGCAAAGCCGGCCTTCAAAGGCCCTCCCGGGCCGGCGCCTGAAGCCACAGCTCCCACCCTGCATCTGCTCTCTTCCCCGGCACTGAGTCTGCCGGTCTCTGCCTACAGCCCACAGGATGGGGTCGGCTACTTCTCAGTAACAGTGGCTTTGTCCCCGAGGCCTGGCCTCCTGCGTCACCTCCTGCCCAGCCGGCATGGACTCCCAGACCAGGTTCCAAGACAGAGCCAGCAGCCCTGGGTGCAGAGCCCCAGGGTGGGCGAGGAATCAGAGCCCCATGAGGCCGGAGTGAGGGTGAGGGGGAGCGCAGGTCTTCCGGAACCTCGGTGCTGGCCTGGGGCCACCTGGCTCTGCTGGCGGTACACAGAGTTCCTCTTTCTGGAGGCTCTAAATCCCCGGGCTTTGTGTCGGCAGCATCCCGGTCAGCAGAGCTGCTGCTGCAGGGAGGGGCCGTGAAAATCAGCTGAGCTCGGCAGGAACTGTGGCCTCCGCCCCACCCAGGAGCTGTGCAAACTGGATCTGGCCGGCCCGCTGGCTCCTGCCGGGCTGCAGCCATCACCTGGCTGCCCAATGCTTTCCTAGCACATCGGAGCACCTGTGGGGCACCAGTAGCCTCCCTCCGCCATAATCCTGTCCGGCAGATTGCTAGAATCCCAGTGGAGCCCCACCTGTCCCCCAGCTGCTCCTGCATAACTGTCCCTGTGAGACTCCCTCGCAGATACTGGGTTTGGGGTGGTAGCTTTGTGCTCTTTGCGTCCCAGTTATTAAAAAGGCCCCAGTTCAGCCCCACCCCTCTGTGTCTTTGCAGGACTGATGCACCCTGGGAATACGGGTGAGCCCCCCGCCCCAGCCCAGAACTTGCTAACCTCCATGGCCCTGCCCAGCCGGCAGCAAAGCTCCTGCCAGCCACAGCAGAGGAAGGGGAGCACGGCAATGCCCCTCAACGCCCCCAAATCTAACACCCAAAGGTCTGACACTTCCTCTTCTCAGACCCTAAACCTACTTAGTGTGCGTCCCCGGGATAACGAGGCTTACCTTCGAGATGTAGGTCAGCTGCAGGGATCCGACAGCACCTGCCCCGGCTGCCAGGTTCTGAAAGAAACGCGTTTATCCCAGTGAGAGGGACACTCTGAGAGGCCGTGAGAACAGCACTGTGACACTCGGGACCGAGATTCCAGGTCTGCTGCTGCCACTTCTGGCCTGGCCACTGGCAAGTTATTTAACTTTTTTTTAAGTTTGCTATAGGGCACATGCACTCATCAGAAGGAGACGAAGGGGGGGGCTCGACCCTGGGGGGACGGGCATGCCACGAGCCCTTCCCCTCGTTCTCTCAGGATTCTGCACATGCACATACATGTGCCTGGCGCGGTTTTCAAGCTGCCAGGTCCAGGGCTCAAACTGTGAAGTCAGCTGTGTGGGATCCAGTGCCTTAACCACCACGCCACCTGCTGGCCCCCACTTCACCGTTCTTTAGCTCACTGTCCTCGCCTGTAAACCAGGGATAATTCCTGGGGGAGGATTCGGGTTCCCGCCACATTAATGTTTCCCCGGCCTTACATATTCCAGAGAGGTGTTCGGGGACACGGGGCGAACGTGTGTGCTCCCTCGTGACTGTGAGTGCGTGCCTCGGCCCCCTGAGCCTCGGGTTTCCTGTCTGTCGAGTTCGGGATGATTGGGCCTGTTGCCGTGGCGTGGCTGTAACAGGACACTCAGTGACGCCTGCACACGCAGGCCACCATCCTGCCTGGCAGAGGCTGGGAGTGGACCACGGCCTGAGGACCTCGTACCGGGGGCGCCTCTCTCCCTCCCTCTGCATCGCTCTCTCTCACTGTCTCTATCTCATGGAAGAAATTAACTTTTTTTAAAAAAAAATAGGGATAATAACAGTACCTACCTCAAAAGACGGTTGTAAAGATGAGTTAACACAGCTAGGATCACCCGGAGCTGTCCCCGGCACGCAGAAGACTCTCACTAGGTGTGAGCTATTTTATTTTTCTGCCCTGATTGCTCCGAACTCACTGGCATTAACCTGTTGTACGCCTCTTCAAAACGCTTTCTGTGGTAGGTGGAGCATGAAACCACACAACACAGAAAAGATGTACCTGTCCAGCCCAGTCAAAGGACTGTTGTGAGTGCCCAACGAACGGATGTCTGCACACCAGAAACACGAGGACATGTTTTATGGAAACAGCAAGGAACTCCCAGGCCCCTGTCTGGAATCTATTCTACCGTGGCGTGGCCTCTGGCTTCCTGGTTTCCCCACTGCCAGGGTGAAGCAACGAAGACGCTGCGATAGTAACAGACTGAAGTCATGGCAAGGTCAGAACCACAGCGGTGACACTTCTGATGTAAAACTCGGAAATCCACTCCCTGTCCCGGACTGAGAAGCTGCCCATCCACCCACAGCTCCCGGCGACCTCTTACCCTGTTGCCGTCAGCCCCAAAGAAAAAGCTTTGACACTGTCCTGGAGTCATCACGAAGCAGCCCAAGGAGGTGACTCTTGGATAAAAGGAATTGAATAAAGTTCCTAACAATGAGCAGCAAAATGACCTGCCATGCTTTACAGAGGCCTTCAAGAAGCGTCTTAGCTGACAGGGAGGAGCCCCCACCCAGCTCCAATGAGGGGCTAAGGAGCACGCATGCTGTGAAGCAAATTCAACCTGGGGCATCTCCTATTCACAAGAAAACGGAAGGGGGGGACCGGCAGTTAGCGTATTGGCTATGTCGTGGGACTCCCATGTAGTGACCGCAGTTCGAGACCCGGACCTGGTGACTTAAACTCACGCCATGTGCATGTGCGTGCACCCAAGATCCCGAGAGGAGAATGGAGGAGAAGGGATTGCGGCGTGGCCAACCCCCCTGGGGGGTGATTTCTCGCTTTCTGTCTCTCTGTCTCTCTCTTTCTGGCGAGCGCACGTGCCCTATAACAGAAACTCTCCCCCAAAAAAAAGAAGAGAAAAGAAAAGGGAAGGGAGTAATAACGTAACAAGAGAGGCCTGAGAACCCTGAGATTTTTGGGTGTCCCGAGAGGGCTCTAGTCTACTCCCCCTAAGACAGGAGAGGGTGAGTCTATAAAAGCTGCCTTGAGGGACCAGGTTAGCATGTGAAATATGATGTTCTGGTTTACTCTTTTATTTACACATTTTTCCAACTATTAGGTTGTCAGAGAAGTCATGATGTATTTTTCTGTTTTTCTATGCAAAAATGTGTCATGGCTTTTCTGATGTCCCAATAAATAGTGACTGCTTTTTTTTAAAGAGGTTTTTGCCTGAGGGTGCATGTGCTCTCTGGAAAAAGAGAGCCAGAGAGAGTGAAAGGGAAAGTGAGAAATCACTGGAAAAAGAGAGCTAGAGAGAGTGAAAGGGAAAGTGAGAAATCACCCCCCAGGGGTTTGGCCACGCTGCAATCCCCAGTCCTCCATTCTCCTCCTGGATCTTGGACACACATGGACATGCACCTGGAGTAATTTTCAAGCCACCAGGTCGAAGAATTGAACAACAGTCGGCCATGTGGGAGTCCAGCGAAGTAACCACTATGCCATCTGCTGGCCCAGTGACTGCTTTTATACTTATTTTATTTTATTATTATCAGAGGGCATGTGTGCTTGCTAGAAGAGAAAAAGAGATAGGTAAATATAGAGAAAACACGGCCTACTGGGGCCTGGTCACGCCTCATGCCACAATTCCCTTTTCTCCATTTCTCCATTCTGTCAGGATGTAGGGTACACATGCATATTTTTCAAGTCCCTAGGCTGGGACTGGAGTCATAGACAGCCATGTGGGATTCAGCTCCCTCTGCACAGGGCTTGACTGCTATGCTAGAGGGCCAGCTCTCTCCTCTCTCTGAAGTGTATTTATTTATCTGCAGAGAAAAGCAGATAACCTCAACAAGATCTTGTCATACTGTGATGTTCCCCATCCCCACAACCTCTCAGCCAGCTAGGATCATGGGCATGCCTGCCGTGTTCAGATGGACTGGGAACCTGAACCTCGGGTCTTCCTATATAGCTCCAGTATTGCCTGTGCCACCACAACTGGGTCAGGACTATTCTTTATCAGCCATTTCCACTTCCTGATTTCTGGCTGAGTCACAAGCAAGTGAAAAAAATACTGAGCACATTGTGTAAATCCACCCTCAGTTCACTAGTAGAAAGAACAAACGTTATTATTTTGTCTCTTAGTAAAGGAGGACTTGTCAGCTAGACTCGTTTATGTTTGAGAGAGGCACCAAAGGGGAAAAAAAAATATGACATTTGGTTCAACTCATGGCTCAATTAATACCTTTCACTATGACCTTTAAGAAATTACTTAATATCTTATTACTTCCAAAACTCAGGTTCATTACCCGAAAGTAGGGTCAATAATATCTCACTTACGATGCGATGTAGACTAAATAGAGCTTGATCACATAAAGCAGCTGATGTATAGTAGGTGCCAAATAAATAGTTATAATCTAAACAAGCTTTGGAGACATCATCTTCTGGTACAAAAGCAAGATGGTATCTATTTCAAAGATAGGTTTTATTTTTTTATCTAGCACTGAATAAACATCTACCAAAGGATTTCTGATATCCTTTTGAGAACTGCCGAATCTTAGGTTCATGAAGTATGAAAATCTCTGTCTTGATCCAAGTTAATTTTTCTAAAGAATGGACAATTGAGGACTTAGAAAGAAAATAGATTCTTTACCATTCTAATAGCTAGTCCACAGAAAAGGGAGAACTAGAGCTTAAGCTTTCTGAATTTCCTGCTATTTTGCAAAGCTCTCTTCTACAGGCCAAGGCCACTTAGGGCAAGTGATACCCCACATTTACATCCGAGGGATGTAGTGTGACATACCTGGTAAATCCTGAACCAAAAAAGACAGTGATCTTGATAAAGTGAGAAGAGCAGGTGGAGAAAATCTTGCTGTGACCGTGGCAGAGTTGATCCTCAGGGCTGTCACGATGATTCGACTGCAGGAACTCAGCAATGGGCCAAGACTGCACAGGCCCAGGATAACCATGGAGGCCACGATGGCAGTGATGCTGGCATAGGGGTCAGAACAGGCCAAACAGAGCACTGAGGAAGTCCTCAGGAAAAACTGTGGATGATGTAGGGACCACAGAAGTGCTGCTGAGCCAGGGGAAGAGTGTTGATTACACTAGTCCCTATCCCTACAACCCAGCATGCCATGACCAGGCCAGCACACACCCTCTTGTTCATGACCATCACATACATCAGGGGGTGACACACAGTGTGAAACTGGTCATAGGCCATGACAGTAAGAAGGCAGGCTTCACTGGCCCCAGTAAATAAGACCAGAGCGATCTGGGTGAAACACGCATTGAAGGATATGGTCTTCCCCTTAGAAAGAAGGTTCTCTAGCAGTTTAGGCACAATGACTGAGGAATAGAAAGCATCCAGGAGGGAGAGGTGTTTCAGGAAGAAGTACATGGGGGTGTGGAGGTAGGAATCGGTACTGATCACCACCACCATGAGCAGGTTCCCTGAGAGGGTCAAGAGGTAAATCACCAGGAACAGCACGAAGAGAAGTGCCTGGAACTGGGAGTTGGTGGATAGTCCTAGGAGAACAAAGGCCGTGACTGTGGTGATGTTGCTAACTTCCATGAGGCATTCAAGTTTCCTTTCAGAGACACAAGAACTGAAACAAATGCTCACATAGGTTATCCCTCCAGAGCATACCTAGGGATGAGGCATCCTGTGTAGAGCTTCATGGTTGACCCAGGACAGATGAAGTAGCAGAAATAGCCTGTTCTTATCAGCCCTCACTGGTCTCCTGGCCCTCCCCAATGTTACCATTTAGGGCAATAACTTATTGGCTGAGTTGAGGAACAAGAGTGAATCAGATCTAGAAAGGAGAGAGACGAGATAATGAATTATTCATACTGGAGACATAAAGGGAGTGAGGACAGAGGCCATAGTTCTGAAAAGTTGTATGATCCAGTTCCAAAAAGAACTAAACCCACACTGCAGGGGGGCCAACTGGCATGGTGGATAAGCAATAAACATTTTGGTTGACCATCTGGCTGACAGACCATGATGACTGTTGGAATGATCAATACAGGTGTTTTGACATCTGGTGATAGTGC